AAACTAGGAGGTGTCCAGTGGATTCATAGGTATCCATATACTCCTTAGATAATGCTTTCTTCCGTAGGCATATGCTTTCTGGCGAAAAATATCCGTAAAATGAGAAAATGGACTAAGAACGTACATTGACCCCCTTTCTCTCGCTTCGGAAGCATACACCCCGCGCACAACATAGCATACACCCCGCATGTTGGGATATACATGGTGAATATGTACTAAGCAACACAGTTCCAAAAAGCCAGATAGTGTATTGGACCAGCATGCAAAACTTGTATCAAACCATTTTCCCCCAAATGAATGAAGAGTCCTTCCCAAACTTATGAGTTAGGACTTTGTGCTGTGTCATGTAGCATGATAAAAAGCTGGAGAAGAAAAAAATCTTTTTTTTTTTAAATTTCATTATTAGAATACAATTTTAAAGAAGTATAATTGAACTGCCTAAACTCCAATACAAGTCAAATTGAACCATCTTGGATGTCTTGATTAAATGTTTTTATTTTAGGCACAGAGCAACAGAAAAGAGTTTTTTTTAAACTAGACCAAGTTCATAATGCATGTATTATTCCTCAGGTACTTTTAATATACAAGTATACATACAAATTAAATATTCAGTACCTATAATGATGTTCATCAACTCAGACAATTTCAGGTTCGAGAATCTGTGTCAAAACTCATGGAACAAATGCTCACTGGATCCATATCAAAATATCACTTTAACATAGAACATTCTATTTACTCAGGGAGTTGTTGACTTTTAAAGCATCATACCAATGACTTTTCATACCAATTTTGCATAGATCAATTTTTCCAAGGAGGGGTCCTGCCATCCAAGGTCACTTTTAGTAAAATTCACTGTTACTTTTAGTAAGGCAGGATATTCTTGATGTTATGTATTTAGCCTCTAAAATTTACACAGCTTTCATTCATCATTGAAATATATGTGGCCGGGATAGAAATTCAGGACATATAAGAAAGTAAGATTACCGGTAAGTTGTCTAATGATTGTCAACAATGATTAAAAGTACCTGATTTTATTAATTTTTTAACCAATGAAAATTTATTTGCCATTTGAAAGACACTAGTGCCGAGAATACTACGTCTTACTAAAAGTCCAAGGATGGCAGAGAATAATTGTACTGCTAGGTTAAGTATGTACATTTAATAATTCTGCAATGTCCATGGGAACACACACACTCACCACTAGATCCGCCATGAAAATTTCAATCAAAAAGCATCCTATAGAAATTATACTATGGAAACGAGAAAAAAAATATAAGTGCTGACAAAAATTATTGTGTAAGGGTGATTTTGACAGCTTGGTCAGAGTACATAAAACAACTATTTTTTTATTGTTTGACTTACTTAACTCTTTAATTATGAACTCTTTCATATATTTATAAAACCTTATTGATTTTAAAAATACATAAATTACTTCACATTTTACCAATTAAATGACATAACTTTAGTAATGATGCTCTCAATGCAATTCTAGTCATCAACTATGGAGCTTGAATTTATTAAACGAATTTGAGTTATTACGGAAAACCTCGATAATTCAGTGCTAGAGTGTCCCTTACTCCCTAGCTTAAGAAGGGGATCTCTGCCTTCCAAGGATATGATCGCCTGTAAGCACGGTGTTTTAAACAAACAAACATTACAAAGTGGAAACACTGAACATATTCATCTCCGCGTACATTAATTTGATCTATTTTATATGGTATATGAATAAAAACATGATAAACAACGTTGAACCTTACTTGGACAGGTCCGAGCATTTCCTGAGATCAGAAACCAGACGTTAAAAAGATGTGGCAAACAATCCACTTATTTGTATCTATGAATAGCGAGAAATGTATTACACAGACACAAAAAGTAGTAAAACGTGCCACTTCTCTAAATATTTAATCAACTAAATCGCATCCAAACTACCCATGTTGAAACTGAAAGTATTTTCTTCTTTCACTTCCGTCACAACGTCACACATGCGCATTAACGGTTTATAGAATATTCCGAAGATTGAACCCGATTACTATTATGCTTGTGAATCGTGAAAACGAATTTTTGGCCGTCTTTGCATTAAATATTCAACTTATGATTTAAACCATACTTATTACTGTTCTATTATCGATAGTTTCAAATATTTAAAGCGATTTTTACACCCAAATCCTAAAAGTATAGATGTTAAAAAGATTTTTCAAATTATCATTTTTCAGCAAATTTGGTTTAAAAATGTGAAATTTTCTTGTTTGATGCCCGCTGCCCCACTTAATTTTTATGCCATATAAGGGAGAGAACATTGGAAAATAACGTGTTAATTTTAAAAAGAAATCTGTAGTTAGAATATCAAGCAGCAATTTATTTTTACGTGAAATGAACTTTATAATTTTGAGCTAAATATGTTTAATTCGCCCTAGAAAGTAATATTAGGTGGATTAGCAGATTAAAAAAAATAATTAAACATTTAAACAAGCATATTTTCTCTATGATTCATATGTTAAAAAAATTCTTTTGCTTTTAATTTTAGAAAGCTAGAATAAATATCTTAATTTCCGCATTTCCGTCATTTCACGAGACAATGTCTATTTTTAGTAACAATCCTTTCAAAAGGAGGCCCGGTTGACCCCAAAATTTACACTGATCTGGAAAGGACAAATACTCAGATAAGATTCTGAAAAGTTTCAACAAAATCTGCAGTTCCGTTATTTCTATAGGATGGTATGGATCTTTACCTTAAGTTTAATAATTCATATTATACTGACAAGTGTTTGCCAATGGGGTGTTCAGTATCTTGTTTACTTTTTGAAAAATTTTCATCATTTTTACATTGGGAATTAGAACAGAGGTCACAAAATGATAGTATTGTTCATTACTTGGATGATTTCTTTTTGTTGGATCAGCTAATTCTGGTGAATGCAGAGAATTTAATGTATCATTTTCAAGAACTGAGTCAAAATTTAGGAGTTCCAATTGCACCGGAAAAAACACAAGGTCCTTGTACAAAATTAACATTTTTAGGGTTAGGAATAGATTCTGTGCAAGAGACAATTTTTGTTCCAAAAGAAAAAGTGGATGAATTGCTGGAAAAGATAAAGTATGTTCAGTGTAGTAAAAAAGTAACAAAGAAAGAATTAGAATCGCTGGTTGGTTCACTTGCCTTCGTTGTAAAAGGCTGGTAGGGCATTTTGTAGGAGAATTTACGGGGCACTACAAGGTGTTAATAGGTCTTTTTATTTGATTAGAATATCTAATGATATTACGAGGGGCATTTCAGAAGTTCTGGCAACTGTTTAATGAAAGATTAACCGTTTAACGGATATTATTGAGTTTGATATCATTGGAAAGATCAGAAAAATATACACATATTGGGACATCACTTTATAATTTTTATGACGTAATAACTTCGAAAATGACGTCAGAATATAGAAAGATTAGTATACTGACAATAAAAATGACGTAACAAAAGACACAATTTGATCAAATTAAAATTTCAAGACAACTTTTGCTCATTACTCGGACGCAAGTTACCAGACGCAAATGCCAGTTGATGGAATGATTACATAGACTACAGTCTATCATATGGTATTTTATTTTGGAGATCTTCTTGTTCTGAAATGGTTTTAACGAGTGTCAAAATTAGCATGGTTTTATCGAATCTCGCTCAAACTTTTGCGTAAAAGAGACCTAAATGTGAGAAAAAGACAAACTTGACAATCAAAGAAAAATAGGCGATCATGTTAAAAAGTTAGATAGCATAAATTCGTAAGGTGTTTTTACCAGATTTGTGGGATCGATGAAGGCTCAAGAGAAGATAAGTTTAGTGTGCCCACTATTTTTTCGTAAAATCCAAAATGGCGGCGGCGCAGTTGTAACCCCTCTGTGCCTCCACATATTCGAAAATTATAATGCATGGAAAATAAATAAGACTTTACATGTCTGAGTAACTTATATTCGTTTTTTGGATTCATAAGTCAAAAGCAGTAGTGAGTTTTGGGGCGCCGAAGTTGAATTTATATGAAAAAATACGCACAGAATCCAGTCGGGGACAAGATTTAGCACAGTTTATTCGTAAACGGTTAGAGTCCTGTTACTCAAAATATATTTGATGAACACTGCATTAATATACTTTAGTTTAATACAGAACATGTTTTATTTCAAACAATGGAGAGCTATATAAAAGACCGAAAAGTCGGCCGTATCATGTCAATAAAAATCTTAAATGAATGTCTATGATAGCAAAACCGGACATAAACCGTGCTCGTAAACAAACCATACAATGAATAATGGAATTGCTGATAAACAATATCATAGTACTACTCTACCTCTTTTAAAATTAAAATTTTCTTTGAAATATTTTTTCAAATAAGCCTTTGACAGAACTTTTACGATCGTCTCATGTGGATAAAAACGCGACTTTTCAGTATGCTTAACATTCTATATTCTGACGTCATTTTCGGAATTATTACGTCATAGAAATAATAAAGTGACGTCACAATATGTGTATATTTTTCTGATCTTTCTAATGATATCAAACTCAATAATTTCCGTAAAACGGTTTATCTTTTATTAAACAGTTGCCAGAACTTTTGAAATGCCCCTCGTAAGTTGGACCTTCAGATGTGGGTTGTATTTCTGCAATATTTTAATGAACTAACTCGGTTTCCATCAGTAGATTGGTCAGATAGTGATATGTTGCAATTTTATACAGACAGTTCAGGGTCGTATGGGTGTGGTGTTGTTTTCGGCGATGAATGGAGTGTGTTAGCTTGGCCAGAAAGTTGGTCTCAGGAGATAAAGAAGGATATTACTTTGTTGGAGCTCATTCCAATATTGTTGGGTATTGTTATTTGGGCAGAAATGCTGGCTTCTAGACAATTTAGCACTTGTTCACATAATCAACAACAAAACTTCAAAAAATGAGAGAGTTATGGTTTTATTGAGAGCCTTGGTCCTCAACACCTTGCAGAATAACATTCAGATCAAATGTCAACATATTCAAGGTATTAAGAATGATAAGGCAGATGTTCTTTCTCGTTTTCAGTTTTCGAGGTTCCATCAGCTGGCTCCTGGGGCTCGGCCTTATCCCTGTCCAGTTCCTATGCAATTTTGGCCAATTATTCATCAACTGTAGAAAGCCTGGTAGATGCTAGCATTTCGGACAATACAAACAAAGTTTATAGGCAGGGCATTCAAACCTTTAATAAATTTCGGGTAGATAACTCTTTTCCACAGTTGTGGCCTCCTCCTGTTGACCATGTCATAAACTTTGTTGCATACATGTCAGAGAAAAAATGTGCCTTTTCAACCGTCAAATGTTATCTGTCTGGTCTGAGCTTTTTCATAAACATTCATGGATGGCCAAATTCTGTAGAGTCATTTTCAATTAAAAAACTGCTTACTGGTTACAAAAAATTGACAGTATCTAGTGATATTAGACGGCCTATTACCTTGCACTTGTCGTATCATAAATACTTTGCCTTATGTTGCACATGCTTTATACGAAGCAACATTATTTCAATGTGCCTATTTAGTAGCATTTTTTGCATTGCTTAGAGTTAGCAAAGTAGTAGACCTTCATTCTGATAGTGTTCAGTTATTACAAGACCATGTAAGTTTAATGATTAAAAGTTCCAAAACTGATCAAATGCACAAGGGTTCAGCAGTTAAAGTCCCAAAGCATGCCCAGTCCTTAATTTTGTTTACAATACTGCAGAAATTTATCGTTATGCGTCAGACAATTTCAGCAACTAAATTCTTTGTGCATTTCAACTCCAAGCCTTTGACACAGTATCAGTTTTCAACAATGCTAAATAAATGTTTAACATTTTTAAATATAAACACATCGGTTTTTAAATCTCATTCTTTTAGAATCGGTGGGGCCACACATCTGTATTTAAACGGTATGAGCGAAGCTGAAATCAAAACAATTGGCAGATGGAGTTCTGCTGCCTATAAGTCATACATAAGGTCGATTCTTTAATAAGTTAGATGCAAATTAATTCTGTCCAAAATTGTTTCAGATTGCATATGGATCATTGGATCTTCATTGTTATAATGGGCTCAGAAATATGCTCAACAGAGAATGATTAACAACCTGGGATTTTAAACACATAGTATAATTTAGCATGGGATAAGGGGTATGGTTTGGTTGCAGCTGTATCCAACTATCCAAAAGAAATCAAAAAATAATGACCCACCAGCAGTCCTAGTAATGCATTGTGGGGGCAACGATATCGGTAATCCTCATAATACATTGAAGGGTTTACAAATGTACATGAAATCTACCATTGTAAATATTTCACAATTAATGCCAAAGACAGTTATTGTTTGGTCGCATATTTTACCACGAAGTAATTGGACCTTGTGTCTCTCTAACAATGATGGTGAAAATTGGAGAAAAAGAATTGATTCTGCACTTGCTACATTTGTTGTTAAGAAAATGTGTTGGGCCTCCATTAAATATCCTGATATTTTAAAAAGACATGTAACCCTTTTTCGCAAAGATGGTGTACACTTGTCAGATTTGGGTAATGACTTGTTTGTGAATTCTTTAAGAAATACTCTGGGAATGCTTTTGTCAACCACTGACAGATTTTATCCTACTACTACTACATAAACTTGTTAAGTCTTGTCATGGCCAAACCTTGAAGTTGTGAAGTTGCATATTTGAAAATTGAATTGTATACACTACTAGTTGAGTGTAAAGTTGATAAATATGAATTGTATTGATGATTGCAAAATTGACCGCCTAGATTTGTTGGCGGATGGCCCACAAAAATTGTTTTGTGGTTCATTTGGCAGAATTTTGCAGAGGATGCCACCTCCATGGGGCACTGTTTTTTCCAGGTCCCTTGGGTCAAGGTGGTGTTTCTACTGCTTTGAGTTGTTTGTGTATATGCTGCCATATCGATTGAAGATCGGCGCATATTTTGTTGTTCTGATGAAAAAATTGTGAATAAATGGCCATCACAAGTACGCCAAACATTAACTATTTGTAATGTTTTAATTAGGTTAGGTCAAAAAGGTTTAAAAAAATCAAAGGGGCAAAGGTTGAAAAAAATTTACATTTTTGGATAATTTTGTCCACATGTGGACGCAATTATCCAAAACGAAGACAACCCCAGATATGAAAGATTTTGTGGGTGTTTTGCACGAATCTTAGAGATATATCAAATCAATGACGACATGCTTCTAGAATGGTTCTCCTTTATGCCATATCTTTAAATCATTTATTCAATCTATCTATTCAGTTCCTATTACAAGCAATTTCTGAACTTTTTAAGAAAATTAATGTATAGTGCTAAAAAACAAACCATACCTTATTATTTCTATTTTTATCAACTATTGCTACATCGTTCATAGAGATCTGAATGAATTATGCAATAAATAGTGTATCTTAAGGTGGTCTAAATTTGGCCCAGGTAACATTGAAATCAGGTGAAAAGTGAAGCATCTAAATAGAACTTCATAGACATTTTCGTTTAGGTAACCATGACAACACTGTCATTGAAATCTAAAGTCAATAAAATCAATTGGAAGTTTTAATGTAGGTTAATGTTTGCAATGTCATATTGAAATCAGTACAAAAGTGTAGGAGGAGTGACACTTTGAACAAATTTTAACAGAAACTTCCAATTTTAGTAACTATGGCAATGCTGTTCATCGAAATCTAAATCTGATGCAATAGATAAGGTATCTTAGTTATGTTAACCTGTTTGCCAAGTTATATTGAATCAGAGCAGAACTATAAGAGGTGTAGCATTTTAAAAAAATGTTAACAGAAAGACGGATACCTTTCTATTGCATAATATGCGCGTTTCTAGTCTCCAAACAGTACAGGTAAAACAATGACTTAAGTTGTGAAAAGGATTATATTTTGTCGTAAATCTTGACTTAATTTCGATTCAGAGGAGGTAAAAATGTGTCCTTAAAATCAAAAAGACATGAAAAGCATTAATTCACACTGAAAATGTCAAAAAATAAAACTTACGTTTAAGTTAATGGAGTTCATGAATGTCAAAATTTGTCTTAAGAATTTAATGGTCTTTTTCAATTTAATTTGGAAGGAAGTATATTTAATTAAAATGTACGTAAAGTTTAAACCCTAGGAGATACCGGTTATTGAACATGGAGAATTGTCATTGGAGATAAAAAACCAAAGAAGAAAAAATAAAATTCAACAGACCCCTTAAAACATAATTTTTAATTCATATAAATTAGCTAGTCAAAGTAATACAAAGGATACTTTTAACATTTATTGATTTAAAGTTTCTTTGTCTCATAAAATGTATATAAGACTGGTTTGTACAATGATATTTAAATTATAAACAGACAACTTAAATAGAATGGCGTCTCATTCTCATTTTAAGATGCGACAAAACGTCTGAAACACGTATATATTCAAAATCGTTGCAAAGCTCCGATTCTGGTTCATCATCAACGTACAGTTTCCATTTTAGTTTAGTAATAAACCTTAATAAAAGATGTAAAATGGAGTCAGAATTATCCATTATATACCCTATTTCATATGATTTTAAATCTTTGATTTGCTTTTGACTTATCATTGAAAACATTGGATCCCAACTTGTCGGCTCATTCCATTTTCCAAGAAATGGTTTCATATTATATTCAGACGATGATTTCTTCCAAAACACATGGTCTATCATTAATTTAGAGAGTTTCACATTGGACATGACACTGTGGACGTCAATGCCACATATAATAATGTAATGTGTCAATGAAATTGAGTTGTGATAAGGGTATTCACCAAACCATAGGTGGGGAGCCAATATAAGTTTTCTTTGACCAACTTTGATTACTCTCTGATCTTCTTGAAGCCCCAGTGAAAGTAAATCTTTCATTGATCCATATCTGTCCTCTGAGAGTACCTCATTGATTAACGATGAACTACTTAAAAATAAAGGTGCTTTTTCACTCTTCATTTTTACTTCATCTTTATCGTTTAGGAATAATATAGACGCACGAATATTCACAATCAAATTAAAGAAATGGCTATTTCCATTCCCCTGTTTATAACAATTTTCTCCCTTGATTAAAAGTTGTGTTATGTCTTTATGTCCCGTCCAAAGAGATACTTTCAAGGGAGTCATGCCATCGGAATCCTTTACTGTATAAGCTGTGGTCTTCCTCTGTATTAATAATTCTACTATTTGGGGATTGTTTACCTTTACAGCTTTATGAAGGCATGTTGTTAGTTCTGGATCCAAATAACCAGAGGTTTTAATCAACATATCTATATCGGTTCCCCTTTCTATCAATATTTTTGATATGTCTAGGTGCCTTTTTTCAATTGCCATGAACAAAGGGATGGCATGAATAACGTCTGCTCCTTTTTCCAACAAGTACAAAACGATATTTGAAAACCCATTCGCTGAAGCAAGTCTTAAGGGTGTCCAACCAAATTTATCGACGTAGTTGGAGTTTGCACCATGTTCAAGGAGAATCTCTAGTACAGAAAGATGTCCCTCCCTTGCAGCAATACAAAAAGGAGATTTGTCTCTCTCCTTATATATAGAATAATCTGCACCAAACTGAAAAAAGTGTCTTTAACATTTTTATATTTCCATATTTCGAGGCAAAATAAAGAGCTGTGTAATCTTCTCTCATACGAAAATTGCACTGAGCTCCATTTTTTACTAGAAACTCAACAATTTCAGTATTATTCAGCATCGATCCAACAATAAGAGGAAATTCATCACATGAACATTGATTAACATTAGCACCAGCTGCTACCAATTTTTGAACAGTATTCAAATCAGACCTGTATATTGCAATAAGCAGTGGACTTAAACAAGTAACGCCAAAAGCATTAACATTGACTTCCTCATCTAAAATGATATCCAATATATCAGAACTTTCTAATAAGATAGAGAGTGTCAATGGGGTTATTAGTTTATACATTGGTATACAAACAGATTCTTCTTCTTGATGTGTATTCATATTCCTACATGTTGGATCTGTATGCTTCAAAACAAGTTTGACAATATCCGGATTTTTTGAATAACAAGCTAAGACAAGACATCTTGTTTGACTCATGAGATCTTTCCCAAACACAATCTCTAATTCTTCATTTCGGGAAATCATTTGGTCAACAATGTATTTGAGAATCTTATTATGCCCAAAGGCAATGATCCAACTTATAAGTCGAATCTGACAATTGTTAGAATAAGCACCAAATTCCTCGTCTTCATAAAACCAAAAAACTTTTCCTGCATCTTCTATAAGCATTTTCATATTAAAATGCAACTCTTCTGTTGAATCAAGCGTTTTCTTATTGGGCATTCGCATGGTTGTATAATCTTTGAAGTCTGTATTCAAAGACAGAAAGAAGTCTTTTATATCAATATTTGTATCTCTGCTAAGAAGTGACAAGAAATGGTCACCGATTTTCTCATTGTGAAGAAACTCTGAATCAAAAACGCTGTAGAGTTTAAGATTTTTTAGATCTCCGTACAGTCTCTCGGCTAGTTTGTTGTACTCCCTCTCTGAAATTTTAATTGTCAGAAAGCCTTCCTCTTGTTTGTCCTCAAGAGTTAAACGTTGTGAAATAAATTCGCTGGTCATAAGGTCAATAATTTCTTTTGGACATTTTTTTCCAAAGTGACAAGCAACAATTTCAAAAAGTAAGTCATGAACGAAGTAGAATTCTCCGTCACACTCAGTGAGATATGTCCCTACCATCTGTGAGACAGCTTCCATTATTTCCCAATTATCTGTCGAACTTTGTATTTTACAGCATCGGTATATTGTCTTTTTTGGCACCAATTCAGTGTCCAAGACATTTTCAGAAATAAGCCCTTCATTCAGCATGCATAAAACCAGAGCTGCGTAAAATAATCTCCTTTCTTTTTCCATTTCATCCAAGTGCTTCATAATAATTGGATATGGTTCTTTAAAAAATGAACATCCTTTTCTTTTGTATTCCAAATTCGTAGAAAATAATTTACACAACAGTGGAAACATATGAAACACGTCGCTTTCCCCCACGACCTTCTGTAATTCTTGTTCTAAGGGATTGATATCAATTTCATATGCAGATAAAATAGACAACTTGTCCTGTTTTGTTAACTCATTTTCGTCATCTCCAAGATCAAATACTTTGTAAGTAAAACTGTTTAGAAATGTAAACCGTTTGGCCTCCATGAAAACTGTTTTTCGGCTTGTAAGAATCAGTTTAGATTTTGAGTCAAGCATGTTGCAAATATCCTCAAAATATCTTTCAAATTCAGTGTGAAGTTGCTCTTTCAAACAAATATTTCCAAATGCATCATCAAGGACAAAAACCTGTTTTAATTCAGGGTCCCCAAAAGTAATTTCTTTCGGATATTTGATTGAAACTATCGTGAAATGAGATTGAAGCAATTTGATTGCAATATGGCGAGAGGTTGCCGTTTTACCACATCCCGGTCCCCCAGTGAGTATAATGATTTTAGATTCACCGATACTTTGCATCAGATTCTGGTAAAAATGAGGCTCGACGTATCGTTTATCGTCCTTCCTCCATTGTTTTAGTAGCTTCTCATGTGATTCTACACAGAAAGAGGAAAAACTGAATGAATTTTTGCCATAACATGCAGGACTTTTGGATTTCATATCAGGGATAAAGAACAATACAATTTCAAATGGTTTGCGTTGCATTGTCTATTAACATTCTTGTAATTGAACAGACTAATAATAGATTGGCGTTTATATTGATTTGTATATTCCTGACCTTAAGTTTTATTCATATATTAAGTTAAACTTAAAATTAGGACGAAAAAGTGTTTTCACTGACACTTTGATAAAAGGATGTTCTACTTCTTTTCCCGTACTTCAAGAGATCGGTTAAGAGATCTTGTTTATAAAAAGATCCTGAAATTGGTTGGTTTTTAAATACATTTACACACTACTCACTTTGAGACTTTGTGCGAATTTCTTCTACTTTTGTCTTCATTTTTCCTAAATCACCTGAAGTGTAATTGACAATCTCTGTTACTGTAGTAAGACTTGTGATTCAAATCACAATTGCCAAATGTGCTCTATTTTCATATGAGGTATTTTTGTTACCGAGTAAAAAGAGAAGATAAAGAAAAGGTCGAATCTGGCTTGATAAAAAATCATAACACTGGTAGAAATGTGATAGTTTGTAGTTAAAAAGTTTAATTGATGCTTACTTTAAAACAAACACTTATAAAAATTCAAAGATTATATGGAAGCAACAGGGGGTGCAGGTACTTCTTCACTAATGAACTTTTACTTGCAGATCTTGGGTAAATTTTTTCTCTTTATTTATTTTATATATATATTTAATTTTACAAGGGTATTATTGAAAATGTGTCAGATTCCCTTTCTCCAGATGATTTACTTGGGAATTTACTTACTTTTTGTAATTTCACCACGGTGTTATTGAACTATTTTTATCAAACTAAATGTATTTATTTAAGGTTTAAAAGTTAATATCAATTTTTATGTTTCATTTTTTCTGATAACTGATTTATTACGCAGCACTGTTAAGGCCTGCTATGAGAAATCAACAGAAAATAGACGTGCTGAAATGGAGGACTTTCTAAAAATGAATTTATTTTAATTAAGCTGTTTATTATCACAGAACTTAAATACTTATGGAAAATGCATACTATAACCTACTCTGTACCGTATGAAGTTTGGTTCCATCGATTGACAGTCACGTGATGAATACATAGTTAGTGTACTGAATGTAGGTCATGAACAAATTTCAATATTGAAAGGGCATACCCTAGTTGAAATTAAAAATCCAAGCTATTAATTGTTTCTACATACTTTGTAGTTTCTGAAAAGTGCTGCTGCTTTAAATATAGTTAAATTTTCAGGTAAATAAGCCAATGTCGAAATATGTTTGTTTTTTACCAAATATTTTCTGAATTTATAAAATCATGCCGTCGATTTAAAGAAAACAACAGCACTTTTAAAGTTAAGAAAAATATCTTTCATCTATATTCTAAAAATTGTTAAGATCTATTCAGTGTATGCCCTTGCAAAAGTACGGTTTTAAGAGGTATTTCATTGTAAATGTACGTAACCTGCACATAAAAACACGACATAATTAATAAATTACATTCTCGTGATAGTTAATATGAAAAATCGAACTAAACAAAGGATATACATTGGTATAAATAGACCATTTAAAACCTCTAAATAATTTTCCGTTTAATAATAAAACCCATTTTCATTGTTCAAAAATCCTCAATCTACCTCCCACAGCACATGAAATAGGTCATTTTTACCAGAATGACGTCATGGTTACAAGTTCATCGCTATCAGTGCTTTGTTTATAACAAGCTACATAGAATTTAACTAGAATTTTTTTTAATGCATTGATAAGTTTTATTGTTGTTTATTATGCTAATACAGTTAAAAGTTCCAATTATTTCATTTTCAGGTATTATGAGAAATACATAAAAGTCATATTTTTATGTGACGTCACAGTAAACTTTTCCCGTATAAATGAGGCCCCGCCCCCCTTTTCAAGCCTTAACAATGCTGCATAAAAGAGTAAATAAACTGATAAATAGCAATATCCATCTAAGACGTACATAATTAATTTAGAAAAAAGCTTTTATGCTATGTTAGTTCAACCTTGAAATGGTATATATAAGATTGTTGTAGGATAATCATTAAGGTCTTTCGTCTTCAGCGGAAAACCTTTCTCTTATTCTTTGGATTATTTTTCATTTTTATCATTTTTGTCTTACCGATTTTGTGCACACAATTTCTCAAAAACGGCTTCCTGATTCCCATTTAATTTTAAGACTAATGTATTATCACTTAAACAGTATGCGCGTTTTATGACGTCATTTTGGGTCTTAGACATTACCAATGTTATGCTGTTAAAGGGTCGGATTGTCCTTCGATTTTCTCATGAATGACGCTATATAGAAACATAAACTTGTGGATATGTATAACGTATTTTATTTTTACTGGAAATGCCGCACTTCCACGCTGACTATGGTCCAAAAAAATATATTGAAAAATTCAAAATTTTCAAGGTCTTTTCTTCCATATTTATTTTCATGTAAATAATTGGAAAATTGTATATCGAACAAAATTTGTGCAAAATTACAACTCCTTTCATCCGATATAATGAATAAGGGGCTGGTCCAAAAAAACAGTTGATGCTCCACGTGTTTTTCCTTTATTATTTTGTGACCGTGAAAAAAATATATAATAAATTCTTGAGGCAAATTTGTTCAAAATATGAGTTTTCAGCTAGTGATATCAAATATCATATTATTAACTCTTTACAACCTATTGAATACTTATGCAACATACACTTAATGTTCACGTCATAGAAATATGTGTTTACCTTTTTCTGCAAACACTTTAGAGTGTGACACTTATTAATGTACGATTTGGCGTAGAAATATTATAATGTAATATCTTATAAGAAAACAAACTTTTCTTATTATATAAGACTTAAACAGGTATGAAAAGAAGGGATTTAGCAATAAATTGGGAATCAAATTTTAAGGATATCCTATCCTCAGCCAGGAAGAATAACTCAAAAATTAATATTTAATTTGAAATGCATCAAAATAAAGTTATTTTATTCATTTTTTTAAGATTCATTGTTCTTGAAGTCGAAGAAAGGGTCTTATAAAAGTTGACATTTGTACGCTATAAAAGGAAAAACAAAATCAATACAGTTTTAGAAAAATAAGATTTTTTGACCCCAGCCTTATATAGCCAGACCTGTTTACTCTCCTGATTTCACCGTATTTTGGACGGATTTTTAGTTTCAAATACGTTTCACGTGTGGCCATCGTGAAAATACAGAAATAAGACAAACGTTTATTAGGAATTTAGCTGTTTGTATTCTTTATGATCTATCTTCATTCCACGCATTTGAGTCGCTAAAAAAGAAAAAAAATCAAAAACACTAAAGAGATGTCGGGTTGCCAAAACGGTCTGCTATTGTAAAAAGACAAAGATATATCACACTTATGCTGCTTACAAATTTTACCTTTAAATTAGTTTGAAGAATATAAGGATTATGACAGGAAACAATCCTTACTCTTGCGATTTTTTTTTATAAATTTGTTTTCAAAACTTTGAAATCTGACAGAAATCCATTTAAAAATATTTTTGATTAAAAATTAGCTATAATTCCATTTACTTACGTTTAACTTTCTTTATTTGATTTTTGCATAAGATTTCTTCTTCATGCTTTCTTTTAAGTTCATTTCTCCAAAACTCTGTTTCATCTGGGTCCATTGTTATGTATTCTATACGATTCATAGCGTTTTCGTATGTTCCTCCATTTGATAAAATCTTATCCAGGTCCTGAATGACTCGTTTTATATTGGCCCAGATATCTTTGAAATCGACATCTGATAAGGCTTTAGACTGATCACATTTATGACATGACTTATTTCTAAGTATTCTTATTCTTTCAATGTTTGCTGCTTCGGAAAAGTCACTAGAATCCGGAACCTTTCCCCATCCATTAATATGTGGAGGTAAACCGGAAAGATTACGTAATAAGGTATAAATAAGCGTGAAATCAAAGTCTATATAGTTTGGATTGTAAGATCCTGACTTTGGAAATAGAATGAGTTTTTGTTCCGAAGATAATCTATTAAGAAATGAATTCTTCTTTGCTAGCTCTTTGCTGAAGTCTCACATATAGAGCGCCTGGAGTAAAGTGGTGAGCCAGTAAATCCCGGAACTGGTCAATACACAGACCATACAGTAAACGTCCCACACGATTAGCATTTGTTGTTTCCCTTGTTGATTGATACTTGGAAGAGGAAGACGCCATGTTCCTTACAAATCTCAAAAGACGAACTTACTTCCTTTGTGATATCGATAATAACATTCTCTCGATCTTGATTATTTTCTGTAGATTTAACATTTTCACTGTTTTACTATTGAGCACCCTCCTGTTCTGATCATGATGGTTTAACTCGTAATACTGTACAGATTATACTTTTAGATCAGAAATATCACTGTTTATTTGATTGTCACACACAAAAAAGAATGCATTTATTTTAACTAGTAGCCACTATAAATGCCTTTAGTACAGTAAAGATTTTATACAAGGAATTGAGCTGAAATAGCATTTCTAAATAAACTGTTTACTTACTCCAAGGTGACAAGAATACAAAGTTTAAAGAGTTTTATGCTAGATATCCAACAAATGCATTATTCCTCTTCAATTCACTTGCATTTAAAGCAAA